ATAACACTGCTTGAGAATTCAGTGCAGCACAGGAAGGTGGAAGCTCACTGGATATCTGGCACATCAACAGCTTTTTATAAAGAGACAACACAAGGTGAAATGTGCATGTATGGGAAATATGTACTCAATGATTTTTTTTATTTTGCTCAGACATACACTTTAACTCTATAGATAGTAAACATATTTATGTTTTTAGTTATAGTATTTGTAGAGAATATATTGATTGATGTTTTTTTTGTTGCTTTTCTAGTTTGCTTCCATTTCATTTTTTTCTGTTTGTCTGTTTCAGTTGGGGCCAGTGAGCCTAATTTTTTTTGGAATCATCTCAATTCATTGTATGAATGTACTGGTACGCTGCAGTCATTTTTTATGTCAGAGGTAAGATTTTCAAGTACAAAGAGCCATACGTTAAAGACATGACGAGATATGTTTCATTTATCACTAAGAGGGTTATTCACAAAGGAGCTGAAGGATACAGCCGTAGCTTCGGCTGATCCTTCGGCTCTCTTCGGCCGCCGGAGCCCTTTGGTTTAGTCGGACCGAAGGGCTGCTGTACGGGCTATTCACAATAGCCAGTACAGCAGCCGAAGGCAGCCGAGCTGAAGGCAGTTGCTTCAGCACGGGTTGAGTTGAAGTGTCAGCCGAAGCGGGGCGAACGGCCTGCCGAAGTCCAGCTTTACGTCCCGCAAATGACAGCTGGGCGGTTGTTGTAATGACAGATCAGCATCCCCAAATGACCTGGGGGCGCTGAACTGTCAATAAGCAATAACAACTCCGCCCAGTTGTTATTCATTGGCCTGGACCTGCTAGAAGACTCTAGCAGGTGCTGGGCCAATAGAAAACAGTTGGGCTGAGCTCGCTGTTACTGCTAGCTCCACCCCCCTTTTTTACATTTTTTACGATTTGATATCTATTTACACTTTTAAAAATATTTTCCAACTTTTTTTTCCAACTATTTTCATTGATTTGCTATTCTGCTCGGTACCACGGAGGTACTGGGCAGAATAGCCGAACCGAATAGCGCTCTGCGGCATTCGGCTTTTCACTCACTGCCGTTCGGCCCCTATGAGAATAGAGGCGAACGGCAGCAAGTGAGCTGCCGGAGCTTCGATTCAGCTGATCCAGATGTTGGAGCGGCTGAGTCGAAGTCCTTCTGCACTTCGGCTCAGCCGAACATGCAGCCGTACTGAGCTGGAGTTAATAGCCACACATAGTTTGGCTCACTTCACTTCGGCTGGGTTATTCACTCGGCTGCCTTCGGGAGCTTTGTGAATAACCCCCTAAATTTAAAAGGCTAAATCCTATACTGTTAGGGTTCTGTGTGGATGAACTCTCAGGTTGTGTTGATGGTAGCGGTTTGACATCAGAGCGAGACACGTCCGAGATCATTCAGAATTCATTGTCCGCTGAATCTGACCCGCAGTTGACTTCGTTGGCCATTATTATGTCTTAGGGATTCAAATGAAAAGATTTATTGCAATTAGTGTGTCCCAAAAGATCGCAATAAAGGCGTCACTTTCTTAATCCTGGAGAGCCCTTTTTTTTTTGTTATTCCATTTTCTTTTCTAAAGAAGACCTCTAGTGAACACACTTTCCATTCAGACTGACTATGTGAAAGTATAAAAACTCAACTCTGAGCTAATAATAAATAAATCCCCCAGCTGGAGTATATAAGAATAGAACCGCTCTTGCTGCACTACTCGCCTCCATTCCGGTGCTGTCCCCCACCATATTTCTTTTATGCAACTAGATGGTCCCAGTTTTCTCTGTTTAATGATGCCCAGCATCATTCATCCCAGGTCACTGATGACATCCTGTGAGTGCACGGTGTCGTGGGCCCTCCCTCATCACCACGGGGTCCTTCACTCCCAGTGTAATGATACAGAGAGCGGCTCTGATGTCATCTTGTAAGCACTTGTGTCTGCATCATTGAGGACCACCTGTTGCCAGAGAAGACCCTGTGCGTCATGCAACCAGCCTGTAGACAAAGTTAGGTATTAGAAAAGGATAATAAATGCAGTGCAGGGGCCTCTAGCACTGTGGGGCAGTAGAGGGGAGCCTGCAATTTGGGCTTTAAAACAAAAATATGAAAAATTAGGAACAAAAAAACTCACGATGGAAGTTTTGCTTCTTGTGCTTGTTGCATCAGTCTTGAAGATGATAGGCCTCCTTCTGACTTACACTGATTATAAAGTGGGGCAGACATGCTATCCTGTCTGATCCGTGAGATCTGCTTTAAGCAGAACTTCAACATTTAAAAAAAACTTTTGATACAAATTGGTTACCACTCTTTTTGGTCTTGGTAGGGAAATGTTAAAAGCCCTAGTTGACTTATTTTTTGCTATTTGTGCCCATTTGGAACATTACCCTTCATTTCCTGTTCTTGGGAAAAAACAGGAAGTGAGGGGCGATCTTTCCAAAATGAGGGGAAACACCTCTTAGACCCCTGTTGCTCAACCTGTGGCCCTTTTGGTACTTACAGTGTGACCCTCTGGCCATAGCTAGTAGTCTCATATCTCCATTCTCTAACTGCTGCAGCATATTTCCAGCCTTCAACTACACCTGTAGTATATCACAAGTCTCTGACCATTTCCTGAAGTGTATTAGCAGTTTTTTGTAGAACTACATACACTGAATGTTCTGTTCTGCCCCCTGAGGATGATGGGCTACAGTTAAAGCCCACTATAAGGCCCACTACGGTCTTGGACAGTTGTTCCTATTGTAAGTAGGGTTGCACAGATACCAAGTACAGTACTCGGTACAGGTACGAGTACATGTACCGATACTTTTGAGCTCCAAGACTACACTAGAGAAAAATGCAAAAATTAGGAGGCAGCTGTTATTTGTAAGGAGCACACGGATCTCATGGGATTTGTACATCTTTGTTTTAATGTACGATTTTGTTTTTATAAATATAAATAAAGGGATGCACGGATACCAGTTTTGCGAGTACGAGTACTGGTACTTGCCGAGTACTTACAAGTACGAGTACTGATACATTTTTGTTTATTGTCATGTGACAGTTTTTCTAAAACAATACAGACTAATGATTTCAGGACAGTGGTGGAGCGTCAGAGCCAGGTCCCAGCTGCAATCGCTGCAACCCTGGTAGTTCTCATGAAAATGCTAAGTATCGGCACTGGTACTCGAAAAGTATCTGTGCATCCCTAATTGTAAGATTTCCCCACTATTCCAGTTCTGGTGAAACCTATAAATGCTGGTTTTCCTATCACTTTCTGTCTTGAAGACAATGATGAGCAGGACAACTTGAGAAGGTGGTTATGAAATCCCTTCCTCTAGAAGCCAGTAAATTAAAATGTTCACAACAAAGAGCTTCCTCCACCTCTCATTCTGGTCAGTGATGTGTCTGTATTATCCATGTCATTGCTCCAGCTGCTTCTCAGGAGACGTCACTTTGCCCTATATCTTGGTGACACGATGGCTTTATTCTGCCTTCTTGTGGTTTTAGGTACAAGAGGACAAATTTGGGCTACAGTGAAACAGTTGGGCTGTCATTGGAAGTGGGACCGGCGAAGTTCCTCCAGCAGTACGCCACCGTGGGGAAGTAAGTGCTATATTGAAGTGTTCTCCCATCGTCTGTCTGTCTGTGGTCTACCAAACTTAGAGCTCTGATAAGTTACTATTCTAAAAGAAATGTCCACATACATTAAAGTGGTTGACTCAAGAGTTACATCTTAAGAATGAAAGGGAGGCAAGTGGCTTGCTTTGCTGCGTTTGTGAAGACACACACAGCTTGCTAGCACACACAAGGGGCGGCTCCATAGTATCTGGCACGAAAAAGGAGTCACCCTAAGGCAGTGGTTCTCAACCTGTGGGTCGGGACCCCTTCGGGGGTCGAATGACAATTCCCGGCCGCCCGGGAGAGAAAGACTTTCTCCCGGAAAGGTTTAATCTGCTCGATCAAGCAGAGTAAACCTTTCACTGCGATCGTTTTTTTTTTTTTATTTCTGACATCGGAGCCCCGGCCGCCGTAAGTCAGAAAAAAATTAATAAATAAGCATTGGAATGCATAGCTACATTCCTATTGGCTATTTTACTTTGCAATAGCAAACTAACTATTGCACCCGCCCACTGCTGCTGTCACTCAGCAGAGGGGGACCTGCAATAAATCAGCATTGGAATGCATAGCTACATTCCTATTGGCTATTTTACTTTGCAATAGCAAACTAACTATTGCACCCGCCCACTGCTGCTGTCACTCAGCAGAGGGGGACCTGCAGTTCTCCATCAGGTCCCCATCTAGTGATTATCATCATTATTATTAATAATAAAAGCTGACACCCTCGGCTTGTGTTATATGGTTTGTCATTTTAGCTGTTACAACAGTGGTTCTCAACCTGTGGGTCGCTGTGTGATTTCTGCTGTGCTAAGTGAGAGTCCTCCTCAGCCCTCTCCTAGCACAGCAGTGTCAGTTCTCCCTCCACGCCGCCAGATGTCGCAACAGCAGCAGCCGCGTCAACCCTAAATTTTACCGTTGGGGGTCACCACAACTTGGCAAATGTTACCAAGGGGTCCCGGCCCTAGAGAGGTTGAGAACCACTGCCCTAAGGGTTTGTTTCCACCAGCCCGTGCATTTACCGCAATGTCCCGTGCCCGAAGCGCAAGGAAACGCCTATATAAAAGACTCCTTGGGTTCTGAGGCGGGAGGGGGCGTGGCAGTGCCATTCAAGTCAATGGCACTGCAGACATGCAATCCCTTGCATTCCAGGCACAGGACATTGCGGCAGACCTGCGGGCTGGTGGAAACAAGCCCTAAAACAGTCTGCAGAAAACTAAAACTTTTAAACATCAAGGTGCAGCATCCATTGTAAGTGATTTCATTAGCATTTGAAATAGTTTGAAAACCTTTTGACTTTAATATCACTTTAAGGATTTTCCTCTTGGTCAGATGACCACAATTCCCACTTAGATCTGAACACACAAGGGCTAGTGTGCATATGACGTATTGGCCCCATGCGTCACTGCCAAGGGGTTCAGAATGACAGGGAAACCCTTTGCATTATACAGGAGAACATTCCACATTAAAAGACTTGATTACTTATTACATACATAGTAAAAGGAAATACATTTTTTGTGCCTGTATTTCCATTTTAAGGCTGAGCCCCAGGCAAAAGAATTGGTATTTCTGTCCAATCATCCCCAGCACACAGCACTATCAGATGGATGAAACCACTTCATCTGTTACACTTTGTAGCGCGATAGTGTATTTTCCCTGCCCCCAGCCTGCTGATTGGACTGGGAGAGAGCAGCAGAGGACTGCTGAGATCGTGCTTCTACTCAATCTGCTCTCTACTCCTGTCAGCACATATGCATGCGTCACACCTGATTTTCCCCTAATGCCGCCACTTCCACTACCAAGCCGATCCCTTGTACTTAGAGCTGCTTTGATTTATGTTCAGCTTTAAAGGGAATTTATGAAGAGAGACACATGAAGATCACCGCTGCTGACTTATATTTGAAATTGCAAGCTCTGCGCCTATCACCCACCTCCATGCTTCACTATGTTGTAAGAACGCTCTTTACTATGTAGAGATCTCCTCTCACTTCCTACTTCATCCTACTCTTTGCAAAACTGAAAATGTTTCGGCTTTACATGCACTTTAAACCTGAAGTTTATTCTGATTATATCCCTTCCCCCCTCACTGATATCTATTTTTTTTTTTTTTTAAATAAAAGCTTTTTGTTTTTATTACATCCAGTGACATCATCCCTGGGTCTCTATGCAATGCAGGCAGATCATGGCCGGTGGGCAGGGTGCTGTACCTAACATCCTGAGAACATCACAGCACCCTGCCCCAGAACACCTCCCCAGAACCCTCAGCTCTGATGCAAGCAGTGGGCTGGCTCTTGGGAGGAGTTATGCAAATATCACAATGGGTGGATGTCAGTCTGGAGGAGTGGATGTTTCTAGCCAGGCTTAATCTGCATGCAGACTTCCTTAGTTAATACTCACATGTGATGCCGAGCCTCCATGATTGACAGAACTGAAATTCAATGAATAAAAAGGGGCGGGCTAGGGACAGTCAGGCTGGGGAGGTAAGCCCTAGATGATGCCTATCTCATCTCAACATAACTTCCCTTTAATTCTTCCAGTAACTCAATCTAAACAATCATTACCTTTTGCTGTACTGTCGCCTACATTTTGTAAAGTGCCGTGGAAATTGTTGGCGCTATATAAATCCTGTATTATAATGATAATAATGATGCTGGATGTCCTCCAGCCAGGAAATGATGCGGGCTCTATCTGACTAGCTGCAGCTTCTAACGCACATTGTGAGAAACTCAGTGCCTTTAGAAATCAGAATGAGCAATGTCAGTCCAGGAGAGGAGCCGGTACAACTGTACAAGACTGAGGGCAAGCCCGGAGTTCAGCTTTAAAGTCATTCCTAAATCTTCCTCCAGCTTTTGTCCTCCAGAAACGGCTTCTAGATTTATGAGATGCTTTGCCTGTATACTGATGATTTGCCCTGTGACTGCAGATTGTGCTATAAAAGGCCACTTAGTCCCTTGGAAGTGCGACTTTCTCCAAGTGGCAGTGACGATACATATTGGAGCGGATTGTCAGCTCTGTCGACATGACATATGCGGCGTGCCTGCTGCTCCAGTGTAAACTTCTGATTGAAAAAGCCATCGGTGCAATTGTATTAGCTGGACTGCACGGAATAATGATACCTATTCTGTGCAATTTGCGGCTACTGTGACTGCAGAGGAATTGCTTGTGTCCGACGCCGCGCTCATTGATAAAATGATGCTTTTTTTTATAGCAATTGGAATCTTCTCCTTTCTACGATGGCTTAAAGGGACAGCGTCACAACTGGACACCATCCGTTCCATATTTAGCCTTTTCCTTATATTTATTAAATGTTATAGCAATGTTTTGAATAGTGGAAAGGGTTTCATGCCCTGTTGTTAAAGGGATATTAAAGTCAGAAGATGTCTGTGAAGGTTCTCATTCATCCAGGTCATGGTATATCTGTAATAAAGAAGTCAATGCAGAAGGTTTTAAATCTTAAATGCTGATGAAATCACTTACAATGGACGCTGCTCCTTGGTGTTTAAAAATGTTACCTTCCTGTAAAATCAGCTGGTCCTCTGAGCACTGGCCCTGATATCCTGTTTTAGGCTGACTCCTTTCTCTTGCAGGGCGCTATGGGGCCACCCTTGTGTGTGCTAGTAAGCTGTGTGTCTTCACAAACACACATCAGCACGAGAGCTCCAAATTAGTGCAAATCCATTTTTATTGATGTCTCTCAAATGTCAAGCGCTTTCGGGGCTGCTCAGGGTCACCTTCATCAGGCTCAGAGATGACAGGCTCATCTCTGAGCCTGATGAAGGGAACCCTGCGTGGCCCTGAAAGCGCTTGACATTTGAGAGACCTCTATCAATAAAAATGGATTTGCACTAATTTGGAGCTCTCGTGCTGATGTGCAGGTGACATCCTTATTGAAGTTTCATTCTGAGCAGCGCCATCCGCAGTCATTACGAGCGCCCATTATATTTTTCTTGGGGATATCTGGTAACAAGTGCTGCAAGACTTACGGATATTCACAAACACACAGGCACAGCAAGCCAGCCCACTCAGCAGCTACCCACACATACCTCTTTCAAGCTAGTAGATGGACAGCTATTGGAGACTGTTCTGTCCCTTGTGATCTTCTACTAGACCGGACGTTCAGGGAAGCCTATATCACAAACCTTGTCTCAAAGTATCACACTCACCGTCCCCTCCGCTCTTCCCATGACCTTCTGCTTTCCAGCTCCCTAGTCAACTCCTCCCATGCTCGCCTCCAGGACTTCACTAGAGTCTCTCCCATCGTCTGGAACTCTTGACCCCAACCTGTCCATCTATCTCCCACTCTGACTGCCTTTAGGCGATCCCTTAAGACTCATCATTTCAGGGAAGCCTATCCCACCTCAACCTAACCACTGAACCATCACAGTCTCATACAATTCATCCCCACACAGCTCCCTTCTCATGTATCACTGGCCCCTCCCTTTTAGATTGTAAGCCCTCAGGGGCAGGGCCCTCCTTACCATCTTGTCTTGAATTGTATTGTGATTGTAATGTCTTCCCTATATTGTAAAGCGCTGCACAAACTGTTGGCGCTATATAAATCCTGTATAATAATAATAAAGCCAAGCTGAGAGTTGGAGCTTTTTGGAAACATGATGACTGTAAGTGTTTGATCAGATTTAAAGAAATACTTTCCTGGGCAATATATATTTGTTTGATCTGTATTCATTATTGAAAAAAAAGCATACAAAGTATACTTGGGCATCCATTAATGAATGGTATCCGTTGATCTCAGCGGTTACCGGCGTTCCACAGCCCCTAATAGCTGCTCACGTACATTGTACTTAGGCATTTGGCCACTTAGTGACCCATCAAAAAGGGATTACGGTTACTATTGTATCGGAACAGATGCAGTTTTGTCCAGCAAGAGATGTACACGGCGGGACTGCATAATATTCTTCTACTGCTCTGCTGGTATAAAATGACATGTTTAATGTGTGATCTTGCACTTCTCCATCACCTCTGCTGTCTGTTCCACCTTTCCAGATAAATCCGAGGCTGTATTGTAAATATTAGACTTTTCAGAACAATGTCTGACGCCCCGGTGTCCGCTCTGCACTCTCTCTCACACATGTCCGTCTCCTCCGCAGGAACGCAGTGGATTTTGCCCTGGTGGCCACGCAGCTGGGGTTTTGCAGTGTTTACTTCGTCTTCCTCGCAGAAAACGTGAAACAAGTGAGTATTGAAGCCGCCGCCGCCGCTAATTAACTTTTCACATTCGTTCATTTAATTACTAGCTTTAAAAAATCTTCCCGGATCAAAGAGTCTCTATTCCATCTTCTGCGTGCCTAGAAAATAAACCATTTTTATTATGAAGCGTTCATACTGTAATTTGCAAACATTACCGATCGCTTCTCAACTTTAATGCCCGTTCAGCCTGGAGGAGTCTGGTGTCAGAGGATTCACAGCGATTGAATGTTAATTAATAAAGGCCAGTTCCGCTCAGCACTTAAATATTCAGCATTTAATGGAATCTGCTGTTCTAACTTGTTCGTTCAGCTGGAATTCAGATTTTAGTTTTTGGGAACTCAGGGAGTAAGGAGGTGTCTAAATCACAGGGTGCAGATAATTCTTAGAGGGCACAGGTTGGTCTACTTCAGGCAAATATGTTGCTTGTTATCTCTCCTCGCTCTTTCTCCTGGCTGTCTCTTCTCTCTCTTCTAGTTGTCTCTCCTCGCTCTCTCTTATGGCTGTCTCTCCTCACTCTCTCCTGGCTGTCTGTCTCTTCTTTCTCTCTCCTGGCTGTCTTCCCGTTCTCTCTCTCTTGGCTGTCTCTACTCACTCTTTCTCCTTTCTGTCTCTCCTCACTCTCTCTCCCCTGGCTGTCCCCGCACTCTCTCTTGGCTGTTTCTCCTCGCTGTCTCTCCTTGCTGTCTCTCCCCCTTTCCCCCTAAGATGGATTCTACCTTTCACTTGAACTGGGGCATTGTGCTTTCATCCCTTTGTCTGACCCAGGGGCGTCCCGAAGCTGGGTGACACCTGGAGCGGAGACCGCGTGGCACCCCGCGTGACGACGTCATCGCGCATAAGCGGTCGTCTTATTGACGCCTGCCGGCGGCCATCTTGGTGATGGACGCCGGCAGAGAGAGGAGGGGACCTTCACCCGGCGGGATGAGGTATGCCTCCGGGTCCCCTCCTCTCTCCTGACACTGTCGGGCTCTTGGTCTGTGACCATGTGCACGACGTTTCATAGGGGGTGACACCAAAATGACTGTCAGTCATTTTGGTGTCACTCCTCCAATGGTGGCACCCAGGTGCGGGCCGCACCCCCCTTGTTACGCCACTGGTCCCAGCGCATCCCATAGAGGTCTCTCTTGATTGTTAGGATGTGGTGAGAGCTGTTCTAGTTTATGTTACAGCCACATTTTCCTTCAGAAATACTTGCTCTCTTTTTGTCATTCCTGATGGTCCATGTAAGGGACAACCTGCCTTTTGTTGCACAATTTCTCAGTGGGCTATAGGCTAAACTTTAGGATAAGGTTCCACCTTTTCCTGTCAAGACGCACTCTGCTAAATCAGTATGTGCTTCTTTTGGCATCGGGGATCTGTTTGATTTGCAAAGCCACAGCCTTGTCTTTCCTTTATATGTTCTCAAAGTTTTCTTAGGTGGATGCTCAGGCCTCAGATGATGCAAGCTTTGGGCATACGGTCCTACAGGCAGCTCTTTGGGCTGCAGCCTGCCCCCAGTTTTTACTGTGGTTCTATACTATAGACGGCCGCTCGCTGCTGGATAGGGCCCTGAAAGGCCTCAGCGAGTGACCGTCTAATATGCTCTCCTATATCTGAGGTAATGGTGCCAATGCTAGAGCGTGTGCGCCTCACATACCTTGTCAGTCGTTGACATCACTGGGCCTGCGCGGCTCCTCGTCTCGTCCTCAGTGCGCTTGCGCGACAGCACATGACAGCATCTCCGAAGCTCTTTTCTGCGCCTCCGTGTCCATCAGTGAACTTTGAAGCATTACGGCGCACCTGGGCTCGCGTGCCAGCAGAAATGGCCCTGCGTGCCTGCTCTGGCACGCGTGCCATAGGTTCACCACCGCTGTTCTATAGGCTTGTCAGCGTATTTGTTTACTATGTTGCTGACCCCTCAGGTTCTCTGGATTTGGATGTCCTGGATTGTCTCAGATTTACATCTGATCCTGTGTTGCTTAGTAATTGATAGAAAAAAACAGGATTTCTGTTGTTGCAGTAAAAATCCATTTCAGGGAGTTCATTAAGGCACACATGTCCCACAGGTCCCAGAATCCATATCGTTCCAATTTGATTTTCCACTGACTTATCGACTTTGCCAGCAGTGAATTTCACAACCCGACCACACTTATAATAACAGAAAAGAGACACTGCAAATGAACTGCAAGCAGTACATCTCTGACAAATATACACATTTTCCTATGTTTATCCCTTTATTGCATGATCAGGACAAATACCTGTTGATCTGTCAGAAATGCATTCTGCTTCTAAGTCATGTTGTGGACTGATAATACACACTTCATTTTTGTGGACAGGTTGGTGTCGGCCCTGCCTAGTTGTCTTTTTTGATATACTACTCAAAACCTCCCACTCTCCCATCTCTACAACATAGACACTAATAATTCTGCAGTCCTAAGATAAGAACTGGGAGGGGTAATGAGACTCCTTGAGATAACACAAGGTGTGGACAAGGCACAGGGCAGCTCTGAATTTCTGCCAAGATCACCAGGTATGTTTTGCACTTATTGAGCATATATAACACAATGTTTTCAGTGGTATGTTTTAACAAGCCAAAAGCAAGAAAATAATAGAAGTTAATTGTTAAGGTTTCAATCCATGCAAATCTATATAGTGACCAAAACAGACACTCTATCCCCTGGTTCACACCTGGGCGTTTTACAGTGCTGATCAAAGCGCTGTATAACGCTCAAACAGTGAAATCCCATAATGTGTTATGGGCATGGTTCCCACCTGGGCGTATTTCTGCGCCTGAAATAGTACAGGAGCTTCTTTGGGGCGTTTTCCAGTGCGTTTCCATTGGTATTCCCGAGTGTGGATCGGGGTTAACAAAGCGGTAACCCGAGCCACACTCTGGAATACAGCGTAGGACTTACCTTGTCCGCGATCCCCGCTGTGTCCTCCGGCGGCTGCCGACTTCCAGGTTCCGTCCCTTGCGAGCGGCCGCGTCGCAGGGGGGCAGAGCCGGCAGGAAGTTTGAAAGTAAAAAAAAAATACACATTTTTAAAATAGAGGAAATAGGGAAAATAAAAATAAAAATCATACCGCCAGTGAAACGTGCGTTTCACTGAACGGAAAAACGTGCTAAACAAACGCGTAAAAAACAAGCTGAAAAACGAGCAGAAAAAATACGCCCAGGTGTGAACCCAGCCACTAATCTTAGACACTTTCCAGATCTTGTCAGGTTCCCTTTTAATGTGAAAAAATGCTGTAACCATTCCGGATCTCAGTACAGTAAAGGCCCGTGTCAACAGGGACTTTCATGCGTCAAAACAAAAATCAGCTTGAAGCAGGTTGATGCAGCTTAGAAGGAGGCCCAGTGCACCTTGCATTGCACTAAATGATTTGAGAAGCGTCTACCTAATCTCAAATGCAATCTGAATACATCTGAGCAACCTGCGTTTGCCCTAACAGTGTGCTTTCTGTACAGGTGTTTGAAGTTTATATTGAGAGTCCCTCTCAGCATCCAGAATCAGAAGGAAGGTGGAATCTGGACCTACGATTGTACATGATATGTTTCCTGCCACTCATCATTCCATTGGTTTTTATACGGAATCTGAAGAACTTATCCATCTGCTCATTTCTAGCCAATGTATCCATGGGTGTCAGTCTCGTCATCATTTATCACTATGTTCTCACGGTAAGTAAATCTTCGTTTTTTTATCGTAGATATTTGTCAGTATTCCATAATAGGTTCATTTTAAAGCACCCAGTTCCAGTTTTTATTGAAGCTGCACAGCCTTTGCAGAAGAATGTTCCAGGTCCTGCTGTAAATATGCACTGTTCGGCCCAGTCATTCCTATGGTTGGGCTTGTGCTTCTCTGGATGGTTTGGGGCCTGCCATAGGTTTTAATAGGCCAAGGAGAGGGCATGTACACTAGGATCTGGACATGAGAACATTTTGTTCTGCCAACACTCTGCAGAATAAGGCTGAAGACAAGTAATTAGGCAGACAGGTGCCATTCAGAGGGTTGGGAGAACTTCGAAAGGATACCGTTGCTATATGTGTAGTTGTCCTTTATTGACTGGTTTCCTTTAATTACCAAATGATTGGGAAGTCTAATTATGAGAAACACCTTTTAATATGACCTGATCACTCAGAGTTCTCTCGTACCAACTTGAGACGGAATCCAGAAAGCATGTTACAGGTTCTTAAGCGGTGTTGTTCTTCCAGATAAAGGATGCAGCTAAACATCATTTGAATATCAGGGGGAGATAAAGAAACCTGTGGGAGATTTCAATACACTTTTGACCTCCCAGAACTGAAACATTTGTTTTGACATGATTCATCTACACTATGTGTCTTCAGTTTATGTGAATGGCTTATTATACCTCTTATTTACCTCTTATATTTCTGCAGAATCTTTCTGATCCCCGTACTCTGCCTTTGACGTCCACTTGGAAGAAATATCCGCTATTTTTTGGAACAGCAATCTTCGCTTTTGAAGGCATAGGAGTGGTAAAAGATCTTTTCATTTTTGAAGTTTAGATCATAGCTAAAAATTTTTTTTTAACCTGATGATGAATACTAATGGGGACACAGCCAAACCTGTTATAGTGATGTTATTGTTGGCACATCTTCCTCTTCACTGCTTTTTACTGAGGCCTGTATTAGGCAGAGCATATACAGCAGGGGTGCGGAATTCCTATCGCCCAACGGCGTGGACATGTAGTTCTGGGTGACGGGTGGGTAGTTTTTTTTCTACTTTTAGGCCTGCTTCAGGCAAGCAGGGCTAAATGTAGAGCAAGGAGTCGCTGCACATTTTATACAAGTGATCTGATTAGATCACTTTTTATCAGCCTGTTTTTCTGTCCACAATGTGCAATAAAGGGTACGTTCACTTTCCCAGTAATTTGGGAAAATGGAGTTGCCTGATCAAATCTGGCTCCATCTACCCCCCGCTATACTTACCTTTCGGTGAAAAGTCCTTACCCTGTGCTAGTACGGGCGTAGTATCTGTACCCCATACTGCTGTCCATCACAGCACTGCGCTATGGATTTTGAAATTTGCTCACAAATTGCGAGCACTCATTGGTCAGCGCAGTCAGGTGACCACGCTGACCAATCAAAAGCGCTTCTTAGTAGAGCTGCAGCTAACGATTATTTTCAAAATCGATTAGTTAGCCGATTATTAAGTTCGATTAATCGGTTAATCGGATAAATAAAGAGGCGTATCTACTATAAAATGCACCTATGGTGTCCCACTGAGCCCCTGGCAGCTAGGGACATCACTGGTTGCCAGGAGCTTGGCAGGACACCTGCCAGAGCAAAAAAACGTCAGCAGTCTCCATGGGCCAGAGAACTG